ATGAAATTTGAATTGATCGTCATAGTTGACGCGGCGTACGACGAAACATGAGCCAATCAAGACGTCGCTAAATTTACAAAGATAGTATTATAATTAGATAGTATTATAGATAGTCTTATAACTAGATAGTATTACAATTCTACAGTCAAATTATGCAGAAATTACGATATGCAATGGTAGGAAAATTCATGCACAAGAATTCATAATATCTTACGAAACACTCACAGCCATATCGGAAACGTAGTATTCAATCCAACTTATCAGTTCAGGGACAATTTACTAATATTCAGATTTATAAAATATATTAAACACAAATTTTAAGCAGAAATTTCATTAGTTATGGTGGGAGATAATAAATTTAAAAAGTTTTAATAGTATTGAACCAATAAACATAAATTATTACTCAGCTGACAATGTCTCCCTGGTAGTCATTTATTACACAGCACGGATGTCCAGCACACACCTGCGATTATTATGCTGCAAAGGCAATTGGTGAAAAAAATATATGCGGATGCAGAATAATTAAGTAATATATAACGAAAGCTGCATGTACATATTTAGGTGACGATATTGTAATAAGGGGAAGCTAAATCATATATAGTCGTTAAACGAATATTCTCATTTGTAATTTATTTTCGTAAGCAGTTCCCGCTTTGCTGTCACCAATACTATTTATTCACCACTCATGAGCGTCGAGAAGACACAATGTAATAGAGTTATATATATATATATATATATCGACTTAGATCAACGACAACTTAGTTACACTGCCAGCGATTATTATGATGCAAAGGCAGCGGTGAAAAAAATATATATGGATGCATATTAATCAAGTAATATATAACGAAAGCTGTACACAATTAGGCGACGATATTATGATAAAGGGAAGCTAAATCATACATAGTCGGTAAACGAATATTCTCATTTGTAATTTATTTCCCGCTTTACTGTCACCAATAATATTTATTCACCACTCATGAGCGTCGAGAAGACACAATGTAATATAGTTATATATATAAATCGACTTAGACCAACGACAACTTAGTTGTATACTAAGTTGTCGTCTATAGATTTAGACTAGCCACAAAATAGTTATATACAAATAGACTTAGAACAACCACAAAATAGTTATGCACAAATAGATTTAGACCAACCACAACTTAGTTGTATACAAGTAGATCTAGAGTTTTAGACCGACCTTAACTTAGTTCTATACAAATAGATTTAGACCAACCACATAATAGTTGAATATAAATAGCCTTAGACCAACCACAAAATAGTTATATATATATATATAGAGACTTAGACCAATCGCATTTTGAATGCAGTGCCGGGATTTGGCGAGCCCCGAACAGAACTGGAATTGTTGCGAGCGCACAAAGGCGAAGTAAGCAAATTCTGGCCAACAGGTCACCAGCGCAGGAAGCAGCGCTTGGAGCCGACAAAGCTTCTTTTGCTTGTGAAGCGCATAAGCCGAGCGCTTCTGTGCGCCTGTGTGCGCACCGCACTGCATTACACTCACTAATCCCTTGCACAGAAAAACAACCGCGAAGATTACCCAATAATTACTGACTAATCCAAATATTATCCAGTGTTGTGTGGCTACTTTTCCAAAGCTTGGGATCAAAATAGAAATTGGAACAACACACCACCAGTACAGCATTAGTAGCAGAACGTTGGTACCACTCACGGTAAACGGGAACTACACGTCAAACCATTCTTCATTCGAGATGAGAACTAATAATTGAGTTCCATTATAGCATCAAAAATCTCATTTGCACGTAATTAGGTTTGTAACTGGAAGCAGACACTGGAATTTTTAAACTAAGTCAAAATTACCTCTGAATAATTTTATTTTTAGTTATGGCCGCAATTGCACTGCAGATATTTTAGTTCAATCAAAAGTATTTAGGTCAATCAAAATCAAATAACGACAAATCTTCTACCATCTGCGCATATTTTGGTCCAACGACCTTTGAGACACGTCGTAGGCGTCACACGCTTCAAATAGAAATTTGTCCCACAAATTTCTGTACCTGGACAGTAATTTTGTCTAGGCTTTTTATTAATTAGACATTTAGCGCTCAGAAAAGATCGTTTGTCGGCACCGCAAGACCCATTGTCGGACAAGCTCGATTTGTTCTCCCTGGTGTGGCCAGCGTATGGACAACGACCAATTATTGACGGCGCCAAGAGCCAAAAACTTCAAGACCGCAATTGAGACCATCAAAGACAGTTGAAAACAAATGCTCAGTTGGAATAAATGCTCAGTTGGAAACAAATGCTCAGTTAGAAACAAATGCTCAGTTGGAAACAAATGCTCAGTTGGAAACAATTGCTCAGTTGGAAACAAATGCTCTGTTGGAAACAAATGCTCTGTTAGATGACAGTTGCTCAGTTGGATGACAGTTGCTCAGTTGGATGACAGTTACTCAGTTGGAAACAGGATTTGGAAAAATGCCCAGGAGTGAATTTTTCTTTTAGGAATGCTTATGCTTTCTTGGACTAGTGAAAGAAATTAATATTCCTCTGCATTTTTCTGTCCACACACACACACAAGCTTAAAACATTAATGGGTCGCATTAATTAATACAATAAGGGTCGCATTCAAGAGCTTAATCTTACATCGAGTTTCCATTGCATGTAATGTGAGGGAATCTGGTCATTTTGACTTCGGGTATCTAGGACAACTCCTGCCTAATATCCCGCAATTCTTGTGCTGTGACAGCTGCTCTAATCAATCATCTACAGAAGAGAAGGATGACAGCTCTGAAATCTTACGTTGGACCAGCGAAAGCAGCAGCTCGGGTGGAAAGCAGCAGCTCGGGTGGCCGTTAGGAACAGGCCATAATACTGACGCTATTGTTTTGAGGCTCCTAAGTCCAGACGATCGGGCGACTGGAAATCAGGATTACAACGACAAGAAGCATTGGAGAAGAAGATGACAAAAGTAATGCGTGTTGTCGTTGGCAAGCTTAACCAATAACTAGCACATAAATGGGACATGAATATCACACTCCCACGCTCCATATTTACCGCACTTTCATTGTTATCATAAATGATGAAATTGTGACGTTGCGTCGACATTAAATAAATGGTGAACCTTTTTAACGCATTTTCTCATTTATGGAAAAAAGGCGCTATTGTGCTCGTCATGTCCGTCCGTACGTTCGTGACTTCACGTTTTTGTCGACGAGAAAATGCGGTCTCTGTCACACACTGCAGTGAGTACTGAGTTATATTTTTTATTCTTGTTTTTGACTTTCCACCGTCAAATAACTAAAGAAATGTAATGATGCTTCAAACTCCATGAAATATGTTAAACTTTCTATGAGAATCTCGAAAAAACTGGGTGAATCCCTAATAACCTTTCGCGTGTACGAGGTAATTACGCCTTCTTTTTCACCAACAAAACATTGTGACGAGAAAACAAACGTGAAGCGGACCACAGCGGGACGTTAATAGGATACGCCTGGTCAGGGCTTGGTTAGCAGCACGTTCCGTACAGAAAGACATGACAGTGACAATTCATTTGGAGTTAAGAAGGCATTAACTACAATAATGAGCACACTAATTAGGTACAGCACTGAAGATTTCATTGAAAACTCATGCAACACAATGCAGTCAGTGACATAATGAGAGGAGTGATTGAGCACACCAGAAACTTGTAGGAGGTAAACTATTTAGAATATGGTAGATGTAATACGTAATCATGTAAAATGAAAAATTATCAAATATTTTTGTGATAGATTATTAGAATAGAATGCAAAAATAAAATGTGATAGATCGCTGCTTCGCTCCCGATATTGAATCATGATCCGACAGAAGTTTGAATTTCATAAGACTTTTTACTTCATAATCACCATCACCTACGGTCTCTTATTTTCATCATTTGTCAAGTCCTCATTTATGGCGATAGGCACCTAGCCAGCCTAGGATATAAATAATGAAACTAGATAGGAAATGAAACTACTTCATTTACATTTTCCTACATCACCAGTCGATTGATATCAATGATGCCGGCTTTTCCGCCGTGATCAGCAATGGCCAAGATATTATGTTCATTGGAAAGCCAAGGAGAATTCAAAAAATTTGCGGGTTGGTCTGCGGTGTCGGTCAATACGCAATGAAGCCATAAAAGGGCTGGACTCGGCACAGCAAAGCCGACTCTTGGAATGTGGCCAAGAAAATCCAGCGCTTTTTATTCATGAATTTGTGGCTGGGAAAATAAATTTCTGACTGCATATGCCAGTGAAAAATTTATCATCCACTTGGTTATGGAGCTAAAACTTTCAGAAATAGACGAGAAGCGATTTCAATTTGTTCTTCATCACTCAATTTCTTACTTGAACTTTTTTCGCCATTTACTTTTCACACAATTAGGCATAGAAAGTCGGTCACTATAATATTTGGAACTAATGCAAACTTCGTACACATAAAAAACAGTGTCTTACTAAGTGGTGTTTCATCGCTGGGTCAATATTATGCAGTGGCAATAAACGAAAAATGCAATAAATTTTTCTGCCGTCAATAAAACCAGGAGTCGTAACATGTTCAGAGTGGCATGTTGAAAAACATTTATAAAACGAGTCTCCATGCAATACAAATAAAATGTATCCTCAGGATGCAAGATCTGTTTGCAAAGGCGCAAGAAACAAAGCCACGTATTTAAAAATTAACTACAGGCCTGCACGAGCAGGGTAATTTTCCTTGAAATTCAGAACGCAACGCTCTTTGGTTAAAGCTCAAAGATAATAAATATAAACGGGATATATGATAAACGGAACCCAAGTACATTAGAGGGAAAATTCAAGCAGATTCAAATATTTTGATTTTTAAATGAACAGCGAAAACTGTTCACGATAGTGTGATGAGGCAAAAGACATTATTTATAATTGTGTTTACAAATAAAATGAAATGGAATAATTTAAATTTGAAAATGACGTTCAAATGAGATACCAAGTATTCAGTTAGGAACAGACATTCAACGAAGGGCTTACCTTTTCCTTCTAGGACGTCCCTGGCACGGTATTTCTTCTGAGGCCGACGAGAAGGCGTTCGTCGCCCCCGTCCCAGAGACGCAAGGGCGTTTTTTGCTGTCCCGGGCGTCGTGACGAAGGAGGGTCGGGACGACCGCCTCACTGGGGTCTTGGGGACGCGAAGTGTAAGCTGCCTCCCCGAGACCGGGCGTTGAGGATCCCCATCAGCTTGGGGCGCTTGCTGTGTCTCGAAAGCCCCATTAGACAGGCCCTGACACGTCCCCAGCAAGGACACTCTTGAGGCATCGCTATGAGATTCAAAATCCACTCGTTTGTTTGTGCTCGAGCTATCAGATCGTATGCTGTGTCTCGAAAGCCCCATTAGACAGGCCCTGACACGTCCCCAGCAAAGACACTCTTGAGGCATCGCTATGAGATTCAAAATCCACTCGTTTGTTTGTGCTCGAGCTATCAGATCGTGATCGGCGAGAAGCTGCGTCAGCAATGCTTTCGTACACCCCATCAGGAGGCAGCTGGAATGCTTTGGTTGCCGAAATTTTAGTATTACTGCCATGTATATCTAGACGTTCTTGATTGCTACGCAAGTCTCCAATTGAATGTGTATTGTCAGCACATTGAGACTGGGACTCCTGAGACACAAAGGTTCCATGCGAAGGAAGCTCCTGAGGAGCCCAAGAAGACTGTCGTATGCTGTTTCTCAAGCGCGAGGGTAGAGGAGGAGGGACGGTGGGTGGATGCTCGCCGAAAACGAACTGAAGGATATTTACGTTTTTGAAAATACCATCAAATTAATTAAATTATTAATATTAAACAATGATAACAGGCAACATGTGATGCTAATATCGTATATTTACAAGTAATTCGCGAAGTTTGAATCTATTCAGCTCCAAGGTAATTTTCAGGAATATTGTAACCATATATAGAGTGCGAAAATATTAAATCAGAATGACTATGCAGTAAATGTTTGGCACTTGTTATCAGCACCTCAAGAATAATCACTACGGCAGTTAAAATCAAATCATCCATTTAAGTTTATGTTCATCACATCTCAACGTAACACAACACTAAAAAATATAATAAAGATGAATCAAGCAAATAATTCAAAAAATTTTCACCAAATTTTGATAATTTTCTCACCTGCTGCCTGAGGGAGCAAGACTTCTTGACTGGCCGCGGGGTTCTAGGCGAGGCATACGAGGCAGCGGCCAGCGTCGTCGTGGCAGTCGAGCACGGATTATAAGTTGGTCCATTGGCGTAAACGTGAATAGGATTGCAGTTCGCTTCTTTTAGATTATTATGTGAGGTAAGAGCAAGATCTTTGGTGAGAACAAATCTGCCCCGAGATTGCGGAGATGATAGACAGAGTGAAGATAAAGACTGAGGAAAATGTCGTTTAGAACTAGGACTTGAATTGGCCTGCTGTGATCCAGACGACTGAGTGATCCACGAATCAGATTCTTCGTCGCCAGGTATCGTGCAATACTCGTGCTCTAAAATATTATCACCATTTATGTCTTCCTGGCTGAAGGCGAGGCCAGGAAGAGTTTCTTGCGTGTCGTCACTTGAGCTTACCCGCATCGCATTTGAATATTGATAGCATGGGTTGCTCTGGAGAAGAGATACTTTCGGTGCCGAGCTCTGATGCCATATAGGCTCTGATGAAGCTTGAGCAAGCATCAGGTTCTTAATATTTTCTTTTTCGCACTGAACGCTGTCACTGAGAGGCCGCGTATATGACCGCACTTTGCTCTTAATAATATTAGGTGACGAATAAGTCGGATTGCTAAAAAACCAGCTAGTGCCCCCAAAACCAGAATTTACCACTTTGGCTTCCTTCTTTATTTCAGGGCTTAAATACATTGGATTATCGACAAACATAAACATACTTAAATTGTTGTCAACTTTATCTTTGTCTTTGCGCCGGAAAGACTTACGAAACTTAGCCAGCATCTTATCGTCGGATATCGCTCTCAATTTCTCTATAACACTCACTGTGGCACTGTCTAGCTTCTCAGGATCTCTCATGACATCCACGTTCAACATTGCACAACTCAAATCTAATAAAGCCGGGTCGCGAGTGGAGTTTTCATCAAGAGTTGCATGCATTGACCACTCTCCACTATCAAAGTCTTCATCGTCGGATTCAATTACCTCGTCTATCGAGCAGTCCTGAAAAAGCCTTAACAATCGGTATGAACTTTCTTCCTGTCTTTGCAGTAGCTTTTCCTCAGTTTTTGATGCAGGCAGTAAACCCTCTTCTTTAGTGCCTTTTTTAAGCTCACGACACTCACTCACATGTTCACTGCGCGCGGCCGTGTTGGGCACTGACGCTCCAGTCATGTTGCGGGTACCCAGCTGCTCGCTACCCATCTCCGGAAGCTCAAGTGTCAAGTTACCGGGAGTAGTATGGAAGAGATCAGCTTCGGACGAAGTCTTCAACCATTGTGCAGAGATCACCTGCTTACCTGCCACTATGGGGCACGGCAATGCTGTCCCTGCCTCCTTCCTCCTCGCAAGGACGTGACGAATTCGATTTTCTCCACATTGCCTAAAAAGGCTAAAACTGACCATGAGATCCGGAAAGTTTTTTCGGTTATCAGGATCAAGAAACGAGCTTTGCTGCGTTTGGCTTAGGATTTTATCAATTGAAGCTGCCAATGGAACTTCATATTCGTGGAACAGCATCGACTCCGAAGGATATTTTCGAAATTTTGGTAAATGTATTGATGAATCACTAACTTCGTTCCAAAATGATACGTCACAACGGTTCGACCCTGTTATTAACTCTTTGGAGACGTTATCAGAGCTCGATATCGAATGTCGTCTGGACAGAATAGCAGCTGGCGACTGAGCCTCAAGTAGCGACCCTGATTCAGAGTCAAAAAGAGTTTTGTGCACAACTCTGTCGATAATAACACTCAAATTTCGGTTGCTTGAACCATTGGCGCGCGAAATTACATCTGAATAGGTAATCTGTTCAGTATTATTTTGATGAGCCGCCTCGGGTTGATTGCTAGTAGACTGAGAATCGCAATCAGGTTTATTCAATGAAACCGAACTGCTCTTGAGTCTAGAATAATCGTATCCATCGTTGCCTTTATCAATATTATATTCACCAGAAACTTTCGTCTTTGATGAAGTAGAATTTAATGCAGTGCTCTGTTCATTGGAACGGGCTCGGTTACTGCTATTTTTATCATGTCTTGGTATGTCACATAAACAACTCGGAGAAGCTAAGTCACCGTAAACGAGGCATGACTTGCATGGTAGCAACTCAGCAGGCTTCACGAGAGTTTGTCTAACACCAAGACAAGAGGTGGCGGAAGAGCCAATGTCGGACTGTACAACATCCTTGGCAGAGTGGCGAAGCATTTGACGATTGATGAGACGGCGGCTGGGCGATGGAGGAGTGGGGTAGATGGGTCGGATGCCCCGAGGGGATGCAGTTTTCAGTTCGCTCGATTCCGATGATCTCCGCTTTGGATTTGAATTAAAAAGATCGCTGCCAGCATGAGCTTTCTCTGCATTCGTGTGCTCATGTACCATAGCGTCACTGCAAGGTTGATGCAATAGTCTTCTATGAGGCAATAGTAAAGGAAAAGAGTAACTAGTATGAAGAGTTTTACGCGGCATTTCGCAAGTTGATTGTAGTCTTGCTCGCGCTCTGTCGTTTGTCATGAGAACGTAAGTATCACTTCCATGCATAAGATCTCTTTGATTTGCCTCCGATTTCCCTTCATCATTGCATCTAAATAATTTTGGAGATGAATAAATTGTATCGATATCTCTGTTACTATTCTCCAAAATAATATCATCGCCATTCATGGACATGTAGAGAGCGTTCTCGCAGAAGGTGGAGCGAGTCCTGATGCCCCCAGTACATGCAGACTCGAGACAATTCGAATTCTTAATTTCTTCATTGACATTGTCCACTGATTTAGGTTCCCCATCACCGTGGCTTGCACTTGAAGGCTCGTCATTATTATCTCCATCTATTTGTATGTCATAAACACGATTTTGCAGAACTTTTTTATGGCCATAACTAGACAATCGCTTCTTTGAACTGACACTACACAAGAAAATTTCTTTCGGAAAAACTGAAATGGAGTGTCGTTTGCTTGATAGAGAATTTATCTTGGTCTCTCCTGAACATAATTCGAGTTTCGAGGCGCTGCTGCCCTCTGGACCATCACGGACGAAAGGTCTTGAGCTTCTTGGCAAGAGGCTTGTGTCCTCGGGAAGCTGGCGAGGCTTAGACTGCGTCACGGCCGCAGTAGCGCCTCTCGACCTCAGCGAGCGACGCGGGTTGTGCGCGCTCCTGAACACGTCTTTGAAGAAGCCTTCTATTCTCGTGGAACTTCGTAGTTTACTGTCAGGGTTCATATTTAGAATAACGTATTTTATATTCAAGAAAGTTTTGGTAACTAGTAACTACCTACTAAATGAAAATTATAGTTAGCACCTAATTTCTTGCCTTATCACCAAGACAATAAAAACTGTCGTTTGAGGAATCCTATTACAAATTTCACACACACACATACACGTTGAAAATTACTACATTTTACATTTGAATCACACACATTACGCCATCTCAAAGTTGTTGCTGACAGCACAGTATTTAATGTCATTAACTGGGAATATTAGAATTCAATTTAATCTAATTTTCATTTAAATTAAAAAATTTAAATCAAAGTAAAAATTTTATTTCCGATGTGTAACATGGGAATGAAATATTTTTACATGGAAATATTTCCTCTTCTTACACCACTGAATATATAAAAAATCCACGGAGCCCTTATGCCCACAGTCAATTTACTTCTTCATGGCCATTCATGCAATTCCTTTGGAGAAAATTGAACGATGGGTTTAAAATTTATTGCATGCATAACAGAATCACTTACTTGATGATGTTTAATGAGTAACAAAAAACGCAATATTGATTACTCACCCCGCAGAAGGAATCTGCTGGTCGACTGCCCCCGATGGAACACTGGCGCCTAGTGGTTCAGGACGGCGTCCCTGTAAAGACACATGGTCTATGTCACGTAGACTGATTAATACTTGAAAATATTGTAAGATTAAAATCAATACTCTCACACTGCCAAGTATAAATGGAATAAAATTCCCATAAATTATTTCAAGAAAATTCTCTCACTCTATACTCCGTGTCATCGCGCACGGTCCCGGCAGTCCCGAGGGAGTTCTCTAGCCCGTTCCCCCCACTGACAACAGACCGGCAATCGTGACGTAAGTCATGTCCATGTTCTGATGAAGCATCTCGGGTTACTTCTTGATGAGTTTCAATTTGCATACCTTCTTTCTCTTCAATAAATTCTTGATGGCATCCAATGACATCAGGAGTGCTACCTGTGTCAGTCTCTGCTTCAGAAGTGACCAAGGCGTTGGAGTCTGCGATGCAAGAGAAATTGCAGGTCTTGGCTCGTTCCTGGACCGAGTCTGCGAGCAGACAGTTTTCAGCAAGTGGGTGCTTGAGGTAAACGTTTTGCAGGTGCTTCTTTACGTCGTCATAGTCACCGTTCGAGACGTCGATCAAGGGGCGACGTCGAGGATCGTCGTGCCCCGTGCTTGGTCCACACTGTGATTATTTTGATTAGAATCAATACAGACAAATAATAATTACTTTCAGTTTCATTTCTTATGTCAGATAAATTACTATAGAAGAGTCACATGTGGTCAATTTATACACAAGGGAATCTGATGCTTTAAATTCTTATCGTTATTGCTTCGTTTCATACTTGGATAGAAACTATGAAACGAACTTGGATAGAAATTAAGCTTATTAGATCGCATGGGGCCACACGGCACACAATTGAAATCCATTTCTCCAAATAAGTCCAGTCAGGGCCAAGCTTATTAAACTACGCGTAATTTATCCAGCTCAATAAAACAGAAGAATTGGCCTGGCGTTCAAGATCTCGCATCAAAGATAAATATTTCTCACCGGCTGTAGGAGGGCGACCGGCGTGTGATGGAGCTGCATGTATACGCCGCTGCTCGCGTCGCTGTCGCTCGCCGAGCCAGCGATCAGAGTGGCACATCTGGTAAGAAATGTTCAAAATAAAATTAAAGAAAAGAAACTTGATACCAATAATATTTGAAATCAACCCGCGGACAGCAAAACCTAGAGAAAGCTGATTTGTTCAATTTGTCTTAATTCGATATTTTAAACTTATGCTTCCAATAAAGGCAACAATTATAATTTTCCATAGTGAAGAATGAATACTTTTTCATGGCATGGAAGTCTACTGTATCAGTTTGCCGGTTACATAAAAAAAATATAGATTTTGTAGCGCAATCTTCAAACCTCTTGTCATGATGATGCATATCATGATGATACATATCATGATGATGCACACGAAAAAAAAAATTATGTCGTGATAAGTTCCGTAGATTTCCGGACCGAACGAAAGATATCATACAGTAATGAATACATAAAGAATTGAGTAATTTCAAAGGTACCGACGGTAAAACGTTCTAACCACAATTTAAAGGAAATATTTATACAATGTATTTTATCCTTCAGTAAATTGTAAATAATCATGTAAATATTGTTGATATAAAAAATTTTTATGAATTTGAAAAAAAATCACAGTTATCTCGAGAACAACGGAATGTAAACAGTTAACTGAAAAAATAGCAAACGCGAATATGGCTATTAAATATTTTTATGTCTAAATTACTTAGGTATATAAGTTTGAATTATTTATCATAAAATATCTAATCCCTAAAAAGTTTCGAAAAATGTGCGACATTTTGACACATCCGACCTCGACGCCACCGTCACGCTATTGTAATGGAGCAATTTAAAAGGAAGGGAATAACTTTTCTTTAGAAAAATTGTTCTGGTACTCATTACAAACTCGTCATTATTTTATCCTACAAAATACCTTAGATTTTTTGAAAGTTTCTTTCTTCGCTTGTCCTCTTTAGCGTCGGCCGTTGATGACTTGTTAGATCTTAGCGACGATCGAGATGTCTTTGAGCTAGAATAGTTACTGCTGCACTCCAGTGAATCACAATTTTCTTCATACAGTTTCTCGAATTGGTTTTCTTTAGTCAATTTTAGGGTAGACTTCACTTGAGCTACTTTCACCTGCATTGGAAAATTTTTGAGTTATCAGTTAGCTACTACAAAAGCCCCTCGCGTACCATTTATTAATGCCTACAAATTTTGAATGCCATTAATTATTTTATTTAAAATTTTATAGCTTACTAAGAGCTAAATGATTTTTATTTCAATAGAATACGTCAGATAATTTTTCAGCGAATAAGTTAATTTGTTCAATAACAAGTTGGAAAATTTGGCATTAAAACAACTTATGAAGGGATCCCAGGATATAAAACAAACAGAATTTTTTCGGAAAATCTTAAACTCCGACAAAATGCTATAAGATGAATTTAAGCAATTAGTAGTACAACCAATTTGATATCTATAAAATGCAAATTTTCGGTGTATATAATTCTTTATATTTTTCTCTTCTAGAATTAATTTATTATAACAACTTTTTGGCGCCTGACTCACCTGGGTCTCGGACCAGCACTTGTTCGAGTCTCGCAGGCTGGAGTCCGTGGAGTAGCGGGCGTCAGGTCGGATGTCATGTGCAGTGACCGGCGCTGCGCGACGCCCGCCCGGCTGCGCCGATGAGCGCAGCGTCCACTTCAACATCGCGAGGCGCGGCGCCCCACACGTGCCAGCTTCGGGACTGCGCTGAGTGCCGGGAGTCGTTCAGACTTAGACGGCCTTGTGATGGGCGTGACTTCCTAGGCCTTCACCTAAAAGAGGAGTCACTCATCACTATTATATCGATTCTGATGTTTAATGGTGCAAATATGACCTATCACTCTAATTATTTCATGGGTAAAATTTGACAAAACATCAAATATAAATTTGCGATTTCTTGGGAAGTAATCGAATAACATGACAAGAAACATTCACTCATCGCGCTCGGTTTTTATGGCGGTCGAAGGCTTGCGTTAAGTTAACACACCAGTTATTATCTTTCCGATATGAACAACATTTCGGCGAAAAAATAAAAATAAAAATTATAAAACCATTTTCAATGTTCATTGAAACGAAACGAAAAAATAATTTTATAGTAAGTGTAGTTTATTTATTTCCTCTCTGACGTTCGTGCGCTCCGAGAACGCAATCAACGCTGGGTACGGCAAAGTTCGCAACGCACGCGCAGGCACGCAAGCTGAACGCTAAGCCTGCATACACAGAAAGTAGCGAGGCGCATATCCGTTCTACTTGCGTCAAGGCTTCCAAGAAGATTATTGAGTCCAGCCAAAACAATGAGAAATATTTCAGCTAAACATATCTGCAAGCCGCGACGGTTGGTGGCTAAGAAGCTTCCGACGCTGAGCTTTACTGCTAGAAGCAGTCAGAGAAATGGGACTTAGTCGAAAGATCGACGCATTTTTGTCATAGTGAGGGACCGAATATCCAGACCCAATTTGGCCATCTGTGCTACGTGCATAAATCGTGTCACTATTTGCACAATATGACCCAGTGATGTATGAGCGTATAGAGAAACGGCGGTGTTAAACACGCGATGTTGCAAATATTCCTCGGTGGTTATATAATAAAATTATTCGGAATGCCGTAATATTTATGTTGTCTTTTGCTCTTTTGTTTTTTGCTCTACCGACGCCAGCAAAGAACATCGTTCGACTCATTGACAAAAACGTACAAGATAGTCAATAATAAAAATAATTTTCTGGTCATCATTCGAACGCGTGTTACATATAAGAAATCGCACCTTTAGCCGTTGCTTCATATGAAATCCTTTTTTCCAAACAAGCCCAGTCTAGGCCAAGCTAATTAGACTAGAAAGCCGAAGTAAAACTTTCAATAAATTGTAAACGACATTTGGCCATCATTATAAACTAGCCTGTTAGCCCGGCGTCGCCTGGAATAGCTTGACTCTGAACTTTGAGAATCTCTCTATATCCTGAATCCCGTTGTTGCAAATCCCGGTAATAATAATAAATCCAATGTAGGAAAATGAAGGAAAATCTCGCACAGTCTTCCTTTTGCTGTAGAATTTTGGAAAATTATATAGCGATTGCAAGGTAAATATCTGCACATAAATTAAATTTTCGAAATTTTGTCCACCCATTCCCTTCCAGATTTACGTGCTACTTCTCCCGCTATAAATACATTTTCAGGGCCAGGCAACATCCTGACTCGTTAGATTCGTTGATACGCGCACCAACATCCCCATATTTAACGGCATCAGGCTTAAATAAAACGCAAACTTTGGCAAAACATGAAAATAATTAATCACTTAAGTGGAAAAATACATGAGAAATGAGATAAGCTCATACTATGACCGCCATAAACATATTAAGAATTTCGAGTTTATATTTGATGTCTTTCTTCTGATGCAAGCGTTACATAATTTTGCTGAAACAAAATAATAATGCAATACTCGTGTGAGTATGATCGTATTTAAATTTACAAAAGAGTTTCGAACCCGTCCAAAAAATGCAATGCGCATGTAAACCATGGTGCAGTCTTTGTCTGTGTCTGCGGCGAAACAGCCAGAATATTCAATCGAATACCATTTCACGGACTAGAAATGAAACATTTTTTTACTTAATTAAAAAATAGTTCTGTAAATTAAATATTGATCGGAAATACATTGCAAAAATTATATAAGTAAAAGTATTTTCTATAACATTAAAATTTTCTCTCGAAATTTTTGGGCAAATATTTCCAAAAATTTTTCTTTCTACCAAGTTTTACTAGCATCGTCAAGCATTTTAACTCAAAATTTGCTGAAAGTATGACGTAAAAAGATTGCAGAATGATGAAAATTTTTGTGTACAAACCGTTTTCCCAAAAAAGATTTTCGCTTTTATTAAATTCCACTAAAGTAAGGTTATCACAAAAGTCGTTGTGGTCGCGACGAGCAGGTGTTGAAATCTACGGACATCGGCCCCAAGCGAGACAGGCCAATCTAAGCAGTCCGTGGATGTCGTCCCACACAGCGGGAGGTCAGCAATTGTGTGGTTAGAACAATTTTTATTGTCATTTAGTGGAAACGAAAAACCAAATACACAGTCTTCCCTTAACTGCTAAACAATTCCAGTAAAGTTGTAGGAAGCACGCCATATGTAAACCTTATTATTATTATTATTTAACCTTATTTAACTGTAACGCAAGCTACCATAGAGTCTCGTCTCATGGTATAATAATTTAGAAATGCAGAATAATGAAAATTTAACACAAACTTGTTGTGTTTTGGAAGGAATGTTTCAATAATTATTGAATAAATTCTGGATGTCCGTAAAATAATTTCAAAATACTAGATAATTCACTATTCAATTCATCGATGAGATTTTAATAATAGACCAACAACTCATTCAAAATTATTGCTTGTAAAACGGTCGAACAAAATATGTACACCCTGCCGCATTTCGCAGACGGTGAAACGATGTGAAACACTGAAATAACGTGAAAAATATAACTCAGTACTCACAGAAGTGAGTGACAGGAGAGCGCATTTTCTAGTCGACGAAAACGTGAAGTCACGGACGGACAGACAGAAAAACGGACATGGCAAGCACAATAGCGCCTTTTTTCCACAAATGAGAAAATGCGCTTAGTATTTTTTCCCGAGCCTTGTAGACGGTCCCAGAAATGGAACAGCGGTGAGGCCTGAGTGCGCAGGAGGCGGCGTCTGAGGTCGTAAAGCACAGCGCAGGCTCGACCATCGCACGCCTGTCGTCCCGACTGCCTCCTCGAGCTGCCCACGGGCAACCCGCCCTAATCCAGAGGCGCCTGAACTTCAATTTGTTTACCATTTCACTTGGAAGTTTCACAATATTTATTTGCTAACAATGGAATATGCTGCTCATTCCACAAATGCTACGGCCATTGATGTTTACAAGGCCTATTTGCATTAACTTTTTCCTGTTACATGCTCAACTACCTCTAAATTGACAAGTTACAACGGGGAGGAAATTTACCCCAGTTTAAAAAGCACTGCTCTTAACCAAAAACTTAGCGCTACAGTTGATTTGCTTAAACGATTAATACCAATTTTCAGATAAAACTCGGTTCGAGGCGGACAAAGAAAGAACAGAATATCAATCAATTTTGAAGGACACATGCTTATTTGAAACCGCAAGTATGCTCACGCACACTTTACTACAAATCAACAGGTAATCAAATGTTACTCATACTGTCGTAAAAATAAATCATAAAATACGTATCAACTCCGATGTTTGAGCTGGGCTAAAAAATAAAGGCCATCCTGAATTGATCGTTCAGTCAATCTTAACCTTACGATTAAAAAAATCCAAATGAAACAATTGCATGATTGAATAGTTGGGCTTGCTAAATGAAATTTTCTAGCAAAATAGCCCGAGGAGCAAAAAATATTCAAATGTAAGAAACAGCTACGGTTAGCAAACGTGTTACAGTCATAAACCTCATAGCGCTAGGTACACGCGATGTGAGAGGTACTAGCCTGGTCGACTTCTCGTTAGCTGGATTCGAGCAAATCCTACATGAACGTTATGTAAACGATGATGACAGCCAGCAGATCCTAACCGGTCTACGTACTGTAAACGTTATGCAAACACGCCCGAAGGAGAAACTCGCACCGCCCGTCGTAAGCGGTATGATCGCAACCGCGTGTAGTGTAAACATTGATGCCCATTGAGATACAAGACTTGCCCACAGGCCGCGGCGAACCAACATTGCGACCGCGAATGGATTTTTTCAGGCCTCCGCGTGCTCTGGTTTGGTGTGAGTCGTGACCGCCGCAAGCTGCAAGCGATCCAATAAGAGATAAGATCACGTCTTACAAATATGGCGCCACGAAACACGGCTTATGGCGATACAGAGACAGCACAAACCAAGAGGCTGGGTGAGTGCTGAATCAAATCTGTCTCAGATACTAGAATGGACTCACGACTCTATATTTTCATATTGCAGCTCCAAAAAGATTCTAACGCTTACGAGTTATGGAGAATCAAATCTCTTGCGTTTCAATTGAAATTTTTGGTTTTCAGAGTGTAATATCTTTTTTTTTTTAGATCCAAATACAGTGTTACAAGCAACTGTGCGTTGAAACAAAAGCATATGCCACAAATAAAACGAATAAACACACATTTCCTAATTGGATCTCTCAAACTTATACCTTTTTTTCCTATTGACCAGCTACCAAGTTAATCACAAGAATTAATTCTTAAAATGAATTAATTTAGAGTAGGTAGGTAATTAATTCCAAATGTTGCTTTCTATTGGATTGTCATAGCAGGGTGCCTCGTAAAAATAAAATGCTATGAATATCAAATATTTAGTTTCAAACTCAAGATCAGCACCTCGTTTTATTGATGCACCAAACATCGTACAAATACCATTGTCGTATTGTGAACGAGTTCCTCATACCGTATCAAAAATTAAAGCGTTGAGCGAGTCCGTAAGGAATTTTCAAAGCACACCGCAGTGTTCCAAAACGAACACGATTAATCTTCGCATCGTTCGCAGCTTCAGCGGGTAAAAAGAGAATATATTTGGAATGTGCACAAAGCATTTTCACCCTCTTAAGAATGAAACACTTGAAGCGTGGAACGACACAAACACCGAAATTTAAACGCCTAGCAGTGACCATGCAGAAAGGCGGCAGTAGCACACTCCGTACATCCATGCTACGGAGTAGTCGATTGCCTGGAAGTAGAGAAGAGATCAAGCCATCGACGCCACAATAAGTCACCGCAGCCTCGCCCTTTAAACGATTCTCAAAACCAACATCCAT